GTTATAAATAAGTAGCTTATCTGTCCCCTTACCTGGATTTGTAAACTATAAGATAACTTTCAATCTTCGGACTGACTATAATAAAGTTTCTACTATGACATTATATAATAAAAAAAAAAAAAAAAAAAAAAAAAAAAAAGTACAGTAGCTCTTTCCCTTTTCTAGAAAAAGGGTTACTAGTCATTAGTTTTTTAAGGATAAAATACTCTCTTTGGGTACTAGTGGTCCCTTCTTTAAGTCTCTCTTGGTCCTGTTGGTCTTCTCCAAAATTTTCAATAAAAAGTGGATGATTTGGCTTATCCCTCCATTGTTTACCTCCCAAATTTGAATATACCCAGGAATGCAACCACATGCCTTGTTTATCAGTAGATACGATACATGATATAAGCTATGGATACGGGACCTCCACGTGACTGAGATTGGGTCTCTGGCATAAGAGGCATCCGGAGATGGCCGGTAGTTGGATAATAAAGATTTTATATTATAGTCGAAATATACAAATGTTGCAGTTGTTATAAAATTTTTCTTAAACCTGACATGGGTTATAATAGTGTATTTCTTCTTGTTTTGTTTTTTTTATTTTGTTTCCCCTATGCTATTTCTTTATAGAGGTAGTTTCTCCCTTTGGCAGCCCTCGGGCTTTTCTCTTTGTGTTTCTTTTTTTTATGTCTCATTGTACCCTCTTTTTTTTGTTCTTTAAAAACATCTCTTCATTCCATTTGTCTTTTTTTTAGTTAGTTTTTTCAATTTGTTTTCTTGATATTATTGGTGGTTTTGTATAAGATCATCACTTTCTTTTGCTCTCGGTAAAGAAAAGAGATATGAAGAGAAAAGCTTTGATGGGCTGACAAAGTTTATCTAACTTGTATATAGGTTGGTGCGACAAGTCGCAGTTGGGTACGTTTATCGCAGCCGGGTGATGTAAGGCTCACAATCGCGAGACTCCCTGTTTTTTAGTTATAAATAATATATGTATTGTTCGAGAGAGCTTAGCTCTCACCTGAAATATAGTCCCAATAAATTGAGTACTGGCAAGACTGTCAAAGATTTAAAAAAAAAAAAAATAGTACTATATAATTTGATTAGTTGATTGTTTACATATTACACAAATAATAAATGTGAATATTTACTTCCTATTCTTATACTGCTATCAAATTAGCTATTTAGTTTTTCAAAATTTCATTTAATTGAGCTTAATATCAAAATAAAATAAAATATATATATTTTGTATCCTTACCAAACATGTTATTATTCCTTGTAATTAACCAAATTATCTATTGTCAAATATTTTTTTCTTTTAAATTTCTGTTGAAACTTGTAAATAATTGTAATTCTACTATTCTACGCATTAAAATTACTTGAACATCCACTCCTTAGCAATTTAACATGATTATCTTTACTATATTTAATAATAATGCAATTAATTTTTCTATACAGGAATCAACAATGTTCTCTCACAAAACCCTGGAGAAAAATTTTTTATAACTATTATTTTTTTTATACATATAAAAAAACATATAATCATATAAATAAAAAAACTTATAAATGAAATAAAAAATAAGTAATATATTACACTGTTGATAAAAGCAAAATACTAGAGGCTAAAAATTAGTATAAAAATTATCAAAATGAAGCTATATTTTTTCTACTATCTCTATAGTTTTTGACAGTTTAATAAATTAATAATATTGATTATTAAAGACTCCATAAAAGCATAATGAATCCCTTTACATTGCTAATTCCATGATAATGTTATCGTATACGTAGCATAATGATCACAATTAACAAAAAAAAATTGATTACTCATTAAGTAATAAAACTAGCTAGTAATCATATTTAAAATTTCAAATCTCTATAGTATCAATCTAAAATTTAACTATCATTATCTTTATTAATCTTTAATAATCTTGTAATTTCAAAGATTGAACTCTAATTACTTGATAAACATAATTTTTTTTTTTTTTTTTTTTTTTTTTTTTTATAATTATAAGGGTGTAGTACCCACACTTAGACTTTATTTAATACTTAAATGATTGATATATGATGGTGCCGATATATATACATATTACATCAAGTACTAAGACTAGAATATCAGATATACAAACTAATTATCCATGGCTAAATCCCACCAAAGCCAACTATATTCTCACTATACAGCTAACCTGGGTTTATACATTTATCTACCAACTGCTAATTAGTATTTACATATTCATCATATTATCCACAAACTATTTATCTTCAACTCCTAAATCAGTGTGTACCAGGTAGGCGCTTATTGCTTCCAGTTTGGTGTGCCTGTCAGAGAGATTTTTTTTTTCAATTCCTACTTAGCATATTTCCAGGAGTTTGTATCTCAAGCTATACAGCTACCTCTATCTGAACTGGTAAGTATCTCAAGCCTGCATGCTGCTATAACTAGCTAGTTTTTTGTAACTTTTAGAACCCAGGTCTTAACATATCCAATTAGGTTTGTGCTAATGACTATACTTCCCAATATGGTAATAAGACTACCTGGGCATGTTTCACAAATGCTTCCAGTAGTCAGTATAGTTGGATGGCATTATAAGGCTTAGAGGTAACAAGTGTATTATCGTTTCTTTTTATAGTGATTCTTGGCAGTTGTAGTTTTCAATTACTGCTACATGCACTTATACTAGCTATACCTATATTGGTAGTCCCGAGTCCTCTTAACGTCAAAGACTCCCATACAGGTATAACCAGAGCCTGTTAGATCTATTAACACATACATACCTCCATGCTTCAACTTCTTATTGGCCTATATGCCAGAAATATTCCAAATCTGATAAGGCCAATTCTTTATCACAGGTTTCTTTGTATTCACCACATTTCTCACCACTTTCCAATTCTGGTTACCACCTAGTTATCCTTCCAAACAAAATCCCCAATAGCATCTTAGAGGTTGTTGGTACTACTTTGCCAATCGTGGATTTACACGCACAACCTTTGTGTAATAGAACATTCTGTAACAACCACTATTACACATAGTGCCAACTACTTCACAATAAACCTTCTTCTGGAAATTTCTAATTTAGACCTATATTCACTTGAACTTCTCATAGCAGATACTTTTAAATATTCATAGATAAATATACCTACTAGGGCTTGAACCTGAAATTTGCTCATAAAGAGTTAAGTGTCTAAACTACTAGGCCGTGGGATTCCAACCCTAAATATAAAATTTTTTACTATATATAAATAAATATTTAAAATATAATTACTATTAGAGCTAAAACATGTTTCAAAATTTACAATTACAGAAATCAACCAAAATGTTTCACCTTCTTTTTAATATCTTTTCCTAATAATTTTAAATTAATTTAGAAAATTAAAACTTTAAAACTATCTAAGAAAAGATCAGATAATCGTAACAACTTGGTAATAATTTTATAGATATTTGTACCTTTTTAGTATGAATAGCATTTCTTAAAAAATATATAAAATTTATCTAAATTAAATAAAAAATATATATATTTAAACCAAATATAATAATGTACAAAATACAATTTTTTTCAAAAAATTTAAACTGCAATATCTGCCAAAGTATCAATATTCTGTTACATTCACACTACTCTGACTAAATTACTTAAAACTTTTTTTTAAAAAAAATAACTATAATAGTAAAAACTGATAGCAATGATCCTACCAAAATTTTATTTTTAAAAATAAAAGCCTTTATACTTGTAGATAAAAATGCTAAATATCACATAGAGCAATTTGAGATTAGTATATAATCTATATTAGAGGAAAATTTATAGCCTATGAAAGTTATTACATGGTTTGTTTTATTAGAGTTACATATAACAACTATATAAAATTCCATTCCGATAATAGTTAACACTACTTTACCTTTAAAAATACTAAAAAATTATATCTTTTTTAATTATAAGGTTACTGCTACATCTATTAAAGTAGCTAATTTTGAATATAATAATATGCTTGCAATAGATATAAGTATTACAGTAACTGGTCATATAGCACAAACTATCGAAACTGAAAATAAAAGTGCAGTTCTTGACTTTTATGTTGAGGAGAGAATCAGAAAAAGAGAACCTGCAGACTTTTGGGTTGAAGTAAAACACAAAACAAATAACACCTATCTCGCAAACAAAACAAATTCTATAAACCAAAAACTTCACTCTACTACTGCCCTTCTTGTTGGCATCATATATTATTATCCTCCACCATCTGATTCTAATGAAAGAAAGCATGTCTTGTTATTAGAAGATATCTCTTTACTTTTTACACATATTAACAATAACAAAACAAGTAATCAAGCTATCAATATCTCTTGGTTGAACAATTTCACGCATTGCTTTAACAAATTCAATCATACACCTTGAGGAGCTGTACCATGAACCACATGAAATAGTCACCCAATATTAGCCCAGATGAGTTTAACATTCATAAACACTAATCTTCAAGCCACTTTAGAAATGAACCCAATACTATTATTGATTAACCAGATATCACAAGACCAAGAAGTTCAGAATCAAAATAATATAACAGATCAAATATCTAATTAATTTACTTTGTTCAAATAATCCAATCTTCTTATTTTTAAAATAAATAAAAAAATTAACAAAAAAAAATTAAAAAAAAAATTAAAAAAATATTAAAAAAAATATTAAAAAAAAAATTAAAAAAAAATATTAAAAAAATTAATATAAAATATTTATTTTATACTTATCCTTTTTTTTTTTTATAATATTCAGACAAATTTAAAAATGTCTTAATATATGATAAACTTTATTCAAATTTTACTTTTTTTCACAATTAAATTTTCTTAAATTTTCATATATTTATAGTAATTTATAAACAACTTTTTCAATTTTTTTATTGAAATATATTTCAAACTTGGGGATTATTTAAAAAATCAACATCAATGAAATAAATTACAAAAATTAAAAAAGCATATGATATAATATAGTATATAGTATTTTCAAAAAAATATCACATGTCCAATTTTGATTTATGATCAATAACTTTTAACTAGAATCTACTAAATCAAATTCATATTTATTATTTATTTAAGTAATAATTTTTTTTTTTATTATAGTTTGAACTTCACTACCTACAATTTTTTTTTATCAACAAAAAGTTTATATTCATCAAGATATGGGGCTCCCATAGCAAAAAGTGATAATGAGTCAAAAAAATTTTTTCTGTAGTTTTTTAATATTGTGTTTTAAATAATTTAATTTTTGCAAAAATAAAGTTTTTACAAAAAAAGTTTTTTTAGTTCATCACTACCTTTTGCTGTAGGGCCTCCTATATATATAAATAAATCATTCGATATTTTTAATATGAAATATAAAAATTTAATATAACTAACCAGATCTGTAGAACTACTTTACTATTTGAGTAACTAAAATATTGAAATATATATTAATAACTCTTTCCAACAATCATTTGGACCACAATTTTTAAAAAACTTTTTACTAGAAAAAAAAACAATACACTAAAGTAAAGTCGATGACTCTCATATATGACATAAAAAAAGGGACTGTAAGTCAGAAGCTGTTATTTAGAGGTAGTTCTTATATGCTACCTGCTAACAGCCTCAGAATTTATCACTTACTGATTACAGGCATGGCACTTGTCATTTAGAAGTAGTTCTCATATGCTACTTGTCGACAAGTTTAGAGTTTATTATTTATCAAAAAGACTTAGTATTGTGCAGGCTTAGGTAGATAGTCAATTCTAGTAAAAAAAAATCTATACTCTTTTAGTAGTTTCAAGTATTTTTTTTTTCTTGCATCTTGCTGACCTTACCAAAAATTTTGACAAAAAGTGGGTATTTCAGCTTACCTCCTCCAAAAGATCGGTATTGTTTATACTTACCTAATGTGGACAAACTTAGTAGAATGCAACCATGTATTTGTTTTGTTTACCTTTATAGTACTATGGTATGAGAATGAAATTGATAACTCTATTTAGGAGATACCCAATCCTGGTAATATGTCTGGAACAAGTCCTAATATTAAAGTGAAGCTTTACAGCCAAGATATATTAATTAGTTGCAATTAGTATATAATTTTTACCTTTATACCTAGCATGGGTTATAATAGTGTATTTGTT